AGAGCACACTGATCACTGCTCTTTCTCTCTTCCATTTTCTTCTGTCATATAGGCACTAAACAAATAATAAAATTCATCAAGGGATGAGCTGCCACGTATCATTTGTCATAGATGCCCTCAATCTTTTTTTTTTTTTTTTTCCCATAACCGGGGATTGAACTCAGGCCCTTGCGCTGGCCAGGGAAGCGCTTATTCCACTGAGCCATCTCCCCGGCCCAGCCCCGCCCCAACCTTTATAAGCAACTCTCAAAGTCCTTTTCATCTGCCTTCTCCACACTATTCCTTAGTCTACTACTCAGCACTCTGAAGACTGCCTTCAAGCCTCCTTACACAACTCCAAGGAGCTGCACAATGCTGCAGCCCTTCCTGACGTCTCGTCTCACCTCGATTATAACCACTATTTCTCAGCTTCAGGAATCTACTTGAGAATTTTGGGATAAGCACATGCTATATATGAAAGAAGCTTTGAGTCTGAAGATTTAGGGAAAGGCTGTAGAGAATAAACTTGATATCAATCAGAAAATATACAAATTAGATAACCAAAAGGATATATGAACATGGAGAGCTAGAGATTAAACTCAAGAATATCAGTCTTGGGCCAGACAGATAGCTAGGTGAACTAAAGTGCCTGCTTAGGCAGAATGCAGCAACCAGGGTTGATTCCCAGTGTGCTGTGCTGGCCTCGCCCCCAGGGCGTGCTGAGACAGCAACTGAGACTGGGCATGGTGGTGTGCTCCTATAATTCCAGTGCATGGGAAGATGAGAACAGAAGAATCACTACAGGTCTGATCTACATAGTGAGACCCTGAAAACCCTGTAAATCCTGTACCAAAAAAAAAAAGAATACATGGCTGGCATGGTAGCACCTGGCTATAACCTCAGCTACTTCAGAGGCTAAATCAAAATCACAAGTTTGAGGCCAGCCTAAGTAAGTTAAGGAGACCCTGTCTCATTTTTTTTTTTTTTTTTTTTTTTTTTTTGGTGGAACCGGGGATTTAACTCAGGCCCTTGAAGTGCTTATTCCACTGAACCATTTCCCCAGCCCCTCAAAATTTAAAAAAATGAAAAAAATTGACATTATAGCTTCATAAGAGAGGACATACCTTGCAAATATAAAGCACTGAATTCAATCCCCAGTACCACATTTGAAAAAGAAAAAGAAAACAAGAGAAAAAAGGGGAACCAGAAGGGGAAAAAGAAAAATGTTTTAGACATTTCAAAAATGAAAACATGCAAGAGAAGTACATATAGGAGTATACAAAGAGAAACCAGAACCAGGAAAGACAGTCACTCAGAACTCAAAGGAAAAATTTTTTGAGATATAAAGAATTAACAACTGTAACAAAAACTGCTAAGAAATAAAATTCTGGACAAAAAATTAACAATGATTTTGCAAAACCGAGATCATTAATAACACTGATAAGAAATTGTTAAAGAAATACTGAAAACTACCAGGTGTGTTGTGGCACAATCCTCTAATCCCAGCACTTGAGAGGCTCAGGCAGGAGAACTGCCATGAGTTCAAGGCCAGCCTGGTCCACATAATGAGTTCAAGGCCAGTCTGGACTGAAAAAAAAAAAAGAAAAGAAACACTGAAAACTCTAGCTGCAAACTCTTACCCATGAAGGCTTCAAGTTTCTCTTTCTTTAAATGTTGGGGCCCTAATTTTTTTAGTTCTTTATATATTCTGGATAAAAGACATTTGTCTGAGTGATTATTAGTTAAGTTTTTTTCCCAATTTGTGGGTTGTCTATTCACTCTGTTGGTGATTTCTTTTGACATGCAGAAACTTCTCAATAAGAACAGATCCCAGTTGTTGATTCTTTGAAGTATTTCTCATGCAGTTTGACTTTTGTTCATGAACTGCCTGCTTACCCCACGTCTTCAAGATTTCCACCTAATTTCTCTTTTAGGAGATGTAGTATTTGTTTTAATGTTTAGATCTTTAATCCATTTTGACTTTAGTTTAGTGCATGGTGATAGACCTGGGTCTAGTTTTAGTTTTTGACATGTGGACAGTCAAGTTTTGACATGAGAACAGAAGACATAGTGCTTTATATTTGTACCATTTGTCAAAGAGGCTGTCTTTCTTCTAGTGAATATGTTTGGCCCCTTTGTCAAAGATGCCTGAGTGTGTCTGTAGTTGTATCTACATCTTCTAATTTGTTCCATTGGTTCTCAAGTCTGTTTTTTTGCCAGTATTATGCTGATTTTATCACCGTAACTTTATAGCATAATTTCAACTCAGGGGTGGTAATACATCCTGCCTTGCCTTTGTTTCCCAATATTGTGTTTACTATTCTAGGTCTTTTCTGGTTCCAAATAAATTTTAGGAATGTTTTCTCTAGATCTGTGAGGTATGTTGCTGGTATTTTGATAGAAAGGAGAAAAGATAAGAAAAAAGGTAGGGGAAAAACATGCAAGTATATATACAGGATAGCTGAGGTGATTATACTAAAAATCTCCATCAGTTTTTTGAAAATAGCCATTAATGTGTAGAATTTTCACCTTGACTCACTCTGTATGCTGATGTTGGCGAATTAAGTGACTACATCAAGGACAGCAATGTGTAATACAAAACCATGCTTGAATACCTGTCATCTTGGACTTCTAAATGTGTACTATTTCTAATGTCATATCAATTATTACAATATACTTTTTTTAAAACAAATTTTTAAAAGGTTAAAAAGATAACAAAAATTTAAGGTTTCTTAAAAACAAGCAGTAATATGCAACCATATGTCCAATCATACATAACTATATCTGTTAATCTGAGCAACAGATTTGCCAATACAAATAGATAATATATCAACTGTTGTTAATCAGTTATTCTTGGTTCCAAAATCTGTAATATATGTATTATTGTATGTTACCTATTTCTTTGTTTCTGATTTTTGTTCTTGCTTTTGTTTTTACTTTCCAAAATTAGATTTTTAAAAAAATTAAAAATAAAAAAGGTAACCTTAAAACATTAGTAAGGCTGCAAAGGCTACAACACAATTTTTAAAAGCTTGATTTTAAATATACCCAAAACCTTCCACCCCAGGAGCATGGATAGAAAATGTATTGATTTGATAACCAATTCCATGACCTGGTGAAGTTTCAATTCCAAAATATATTTTTAACAAAATATAAGCAAATTTTCTGAGTACAAAGCAGAAAAATTACAAATCAATATAATATAGTTAGAAAGTTAAAAGTATACTTCAAAATAACCCATAAGATATTATGAGAAAAATTATAAACTATATCCAAATAAATGAAAATAAATCATCTTTATCAAAAGCACTCAGGATACAGCTAAAACATCTAGAAATTACCACAATAATTACTTATTAAAATTATTACTTAGAAATTATTATACTAAATTGTTTTAACATGAAGTGAAAGCATTCATATAGACATATTTCGCTTGGAAACAAATACAAATTTCTCAAACAGACATTTCAAATCTAACCCAACACTGTACTTATATTTTAAATATCTCATAACCTGTTGAGCTGTAGGGGACTCAGGTCAACAATTTCTGACATTTTCAATCAAGCAGAAGACCCAATACTATTATGGACTACTGGACTCTTTTAGAATATTTTGCTGAGTTAACACACCTATAATATTCAAATGATGGAATTAAACAAAAAAGGAGACACAGATGAATGTCCATTTTGTATCTGTGTATTCGAAGTGGTTAGGATAGATATATAGTTACATTCTCTTAACGAATAGAGGGATTTGTTCTACTAGTGTCTGTAAATAGGATATCATGTCCACATCTTGTACAGCAAATAACTACTAGAAAGAGTGTATGCAATGTGCTAATTATTGAAACTGTCAAACCAATTTGATTTGAAACTGTCTCATTGCTATTTGTTTCTGAATAAAATTATGGGAAAAAAGTATTCCAGCAACAAAAAAAATTTTTTAATTAATTAATTAATATCTCAGAACCACAAGAGAAATGACAGAAAAAAATCTATCAATAAATTCACAAATAAGAGTAGAAAACCTGTATGATTATCTCTAAAGAAAAATTGAAAAGGCAACATAGATTCATAACCAACACTCTTATTAGCAATAAATGTAACTTTATTAAGCAATAGACAAGGACCTCCTTAAACGAATAAAAGATATATTTCTTTTTAAATTTTATTTTGAAGAGCAAAGACAAAAAAAAGAAGAAACAGTGTAACATACAACCATACATGTGTTATAGATTTTCAACACAGGAAAAGCTAATTAACAAT